TTGAAGTCCACAAGTCATAAAAGGGCCAAATTTGAAGACCCCTGCTTTAAAAGAACCGGTTCAGGGAATGATGTGAGAATGCCCTACAGTTGCTTAGAGGCTGTAATTAAAGAGATAGAGAGGTCACATCTGTCCTCTGGAGAGAAGACTACATAAAACTTGAGAACCAAAGTGGTAACATCTGACCACGGATCAAAGTGGTAACATCTGACCACGGAAATGGGTGCTTATCTGTAATCGTTGACTCATTTATCTCACCACAGTTTGAACTCCCTATCTAGTTGGGGAACTCAACGGTCAGAGTTCAGAGAGGATTAAAACTGACCACGTCTGCTGTGGAGCAAAGGAGGGGGAGGCGCCCTCACTCACAACAATCCGCAAAGGTGCCTTTTCCCACCTGTAAAATGACAACCACAACAGTGGGAAGGGACCTTGGAGGTCATCTAATCCAACCCCCTGCTCAGGCAGGAAACCCTATATCACTTCAGAGAAATGGCTGTCCAGTCACTTCTTTAAAAAAAACTTCCAGTGTTGGAACATTCACAACTTCTGGAGGCAGGTTGTTCCACTGGTAAATTGTTCTAACTGTCAGGAAATTTCTCCTTAGTTTCCCCGACAGTTAGAACAATTAGCCAGTGGAACAACCTGCCTCCAGAAGCTGTGAATGCTCCAACACTGGAAGTTTTTCAGAAGAGATTGGACCGCCATTTGTGTGAAATGTTTTTGTGCTTCCCCCCCGCTTTAACAACCTGGGTAAACGCTCTGAATCTCTTCCTTCCAGCTCATCTACGTTGCCTGCGCGTACGCTACAGTCTACCTGATCTACATGAAATTCAAGGCCACCTACGATGGGAATCACGATACCTTTAGAATTGAGTTTCTTGTGGTGCCCGTCGGCGGACTGTCTTTCCTTGTCAATCATGATTTCTCTCCTCTGGAGGTGAGCTCAGCACGTGGCAGTGTTTGCATTTATCGCCCTGGTTAATCTTTAAAAAAACACACACGCACACACAACGTGGCAGTGTTTGCAACACACACGCAGGCACACACACATCGAAAGGAATGTTCTCCCCCCCCCCACCTTTCTCTCCCAATTCAGCTGAGCTTCAGTTGGGGTGGTGCACTTTTTCCTTCAAACTGGACTGAATTCAAGAGAATTCAATTCCTCTCCCAAATCTACATATGGAATTGCCGTATTTTTTTTTTCATTTCCTTAAACAAATATTGGGGAAGTGAGTTCGTCTTTGTTCTTTCTTTTCTTTCTTTCTTTCTCTCTCTCTCTCTCTCTCTCTCTCTCTCTCTCTCTCTCTCTCTCTCTCTNTCCCTTGTGGGAATCTGGCAGGAAGCCTCGGAAATCTCCCCATCCCGGCAGGCAGGTAAAACTGCCGGGTGGGAAAAGTGTCACGGAAAGGTTGAAAATGAAGATCACTTGACTGCGGCAGCATCCCAGGAGCAGCCAGTAATCGCATTAAAGCAGCCACATCTTCCCCAAATTTCATTTCCTCCGGAGACACGAGTCCTGGATTTTAGATGCATTCTGTAAACTAGTCCACTTGAAGCATCTTGGTTGAAAAACTGTTATTTCACCCATTTTAAGGTCACGAGAGTTTTAGCAGTACAGGTAACCCTCAACTTAACCACAGTTCATTTAGTGACTGCTCAAAGTTACAAGGGCACTGGGGAAAAAGTGACTTATGGCCATTTTTCATCCTTATGACCATTGCAATTATCCCCTTGGTGATAGGATCAAAATTCGGACGCTTGGCAACCGACTCATATTTGTGACGGTTGCAGTGTCCCGGGTTTATGTGATCCCCTTTTTACGACCTCCTGACAAACAAAGTCAATGGGGGAAAACAGATTCATCTAACAACCGTGTTAGTAACTTAACCACTGCAGGGATTCACAACTGTGGCAAAAAAGGTCCTAAAATGGGGCAAAACTGACTTAACCACCATCTCGCTTAGTAACGGAAATTTTGGGCTCAATGGTGGTCATAAGCGGAGGACTACCTGTATATAGATAGATGTAGAATCAGTGACTGGGCCTTATCTTCTGCAGCACAAATGAGGGACAAATGGCAGGGTTTTGTAAATGTTAGTTAACATAGATACTTTGAATAGTAACTTTATATCTTAACATAGTTATTTAGCATTCCAATTTGATTTATTTTCTGTGTCTTAAAAGAACGTTCAAGGAACTTAGGAGTAGCTTTTAACATTCCTAAATTGAAGAGAGAAACAGGTCTGAAGATTATCTGAAGATAGGAAAATGGTTGTTAGTACAGATTGGGGTCTAGTTTATTATCTCTTTAGTGAACTCTAAACAACCCTTTTCCATCCCAATTTTACACCTCTTCTGAGGTCAGGCCTCATTTTAATGAACACGTGTGATATTATGGGATGCAGATATGTAACATGCTTGAGACCGCATGTAACTTGATTTTCTATGCAAAGGGGAGGTTACTTTTATCCTGTCCAATCAAACTTTCCTGTGGGATTTTGCTTTGTTATGCTAACTATAAAAGGTATTGCAAGCTAAAGATCAGGGTTCCCTTTTGTCTGAATATTCTGATAAACTGTAATAAAACGATCTTCCTGTCTCGGTTTGTCTCGTTGGAAAATATGCACGCCGAGGCACCAGCCTAAAAACAGCCATATTCGTCCATCACATAAAAAGGAGGTTTGACAATGCAGAAACTCCGCAGTTTGCTGAAATACGCAGCATTTATGATTTGGAAGAAGCTTTGTTCACAGGAAGGCAGCACGCATGGCAGCCCTGATCAATGGAGCATTATGTTCAGTTAATGGGGCATGTGCTGTGATCAACACCTAACTTTTCTGGCTGGGAGGTGTTCCTTTACAGAATTGTGACCTGCGAACGTGTGTGGTGGTGGGAAGCGGGTGTCTGTTTAAACACCTCGCTTGCCAGCTTGTAAATGTTGGAACTGTGCAGCGATCCAGATTCAGAGGAGGGAAAGGTGATTCAGAGCACGTGTGATGTGAATGTGCACAGCACACAGCTGGCAGCACCTCCTTAAATCCCCGTGTTCACCGGCCCGGGAACTGCTTCTTTGAGAAATTGCCAACAGATGCAACATCAGTGCTCTCGTCTATACAAAAGCACCTTGTCTCCTTCAAAGCCAGATCATTGCATCTTCCTGTGTAAACTCTCAGGGACACATTTAGTCATTGGGCACTGCTTGAGGGATTCCTGGTAGAAATGACATTTTGAGGATGAATGAATGATTGCAGGGGTCTCCAACCGTGGCAATTTTAAGACTTGTGGACTTCAACTCTCAGAATTCCTCAGCCAGCGTGCCTGGCTGAGGGATTCTGGGAGTTGAAGTCCACAAGTCATAAAGGGGCCAAGTTTGAAGACCCCTGCTTAATTCATCTCAACTGCCCTGGGCTCTTACCGGTATTTATGAAGTCTTTTCAAATGAAGGTCTATGGAGATTCTCAATCATCCAGATCACTGTTGTCCCAAAGTTGCTTTTTCCCCCCAAAACAATGAAGATTTAGCCCTTTCAACACAATGCCTGACAGACTGCAAGTTTAGAATGGAATCGAAATGAAATTGAAAAGTGGAACAACCAAACGAGAAACTCAGAGGTGCTTTTTTTTTTCCCCCTCCAGGAAAAAAACCCAGTCCGGTTGCCTTTAAAAAAAACAACACCACCTTTTGAAACAACTGTGACTTGGATAACTGAAAATCTCCATAAACCATTAACCCCAAACAAGAAGCATTTCACTAATAGTGACAAATAGAGAGATTCCCATCTTGAGGCTTCCAAAGATTTGGATGGACGGGCTCTTTCAATAAACTTTGGTTGGGGATGTAAAGTGGCCCTGCCTAATTGAAAGATAAGTAGTGCAATTTTGGTTTTTAAAGACTTCCCTCTTTTTTCTTTTAATTTGCTCTAGGTATATCTGGGAAAAGTCAGCTTCTGTTTGCACTGGTCTTTACTACGCGCTACCTGGACCTCTTCACGTCGTTCATTTCACTTTATAACACTTCCATGAAGGTATAGTATATTGAATCAGTAAGAGGGCTATACGGGCCATTAATGACACCCGGGGTCTGCAGCCATTTCTTCTAGATTCCCCCCCCCCCCCCAGTTTTGATAGGAAGAAACGGCTGCTTTGGAAAGGTGAAAAGTTGATTAAAAAGATTTTTGAGTCTGCTTTGAGCACGGTGGCTCAATTTGAAATCAAGTCCCACCCTTTGGTAGGGTGACTTGTGCTGTTGCCCTGAATACTGGCAATAATATTCAGAGTTCCAATCCAAAGCGTTCCTCTAACAAGGTGTCTGCCAAAGCAGAATATTTAAATTATATTTAGTACTCCTTATATATGTTTTCCTAGTCGGAAAGGAAGGTTTTGACCGTGAAATGGTTTATACCCAGCTCGGGGTCTGAATAGTATTGGACCACTAGTCCACAA